TTGAAGCATCTGTCAATTGAACAATGTATCTACAAATGGACCAGAGATGCCCAGAAAGCAAAACACAAGGTCAGTTTTAACATAATGAGAATACATTCAGTGAATATAGGGAGTGGCCGATAAAACAAAACCATAGTGAACATCAAACTTTGATATAAAATATTAACATGAGAATATACAAATGAAATTGGTGATTGTACTATAAAATTCATATCAGAGGTTTCCTAGATATCACATTCTTAAAATGTTCAAAAATTTTACTCTTTTCTTCTTTGTCTCTGTCCTCTCCCGTTCTGCCTCTGTTTTCCCCCAGAAATGAATTAAGATAAAAACCATTTCATGTTGATGTATTTCTGTCCTGTCCTTATCTTGTCAGGTTGGACAAATATGGATGCTGTATAAAATGGCCTTGTCGCGACTGAAGGTCAAAAAAGATCTATGAGTGAGAGGAGTGGGTGGGGGATTTTTGGAGTGAGAGTGACAGAGAATAGAGAGGAATAATGTAAGAATTGGAAGCAGAGAGGGAGGGAAGGCAGTTTTCCCTAATAATAATGAATTGCAAAGATAACAGCTTAGTTGCAGACTCCTGCTATTTGAACCTGGAAGGAAAAAACAACCACGTGGGGGCCTGAGTGACTACTGAGTGACTTCGAAATACTGTAGACATGAGACTGAGCATTCGTTTCTGTGAAACAGAGATTTCAGTGATTAATGTGTTTTACTTTGATAGTTGATAGTGACGAGAGATGCTCCTTAGTTCAGTGGCTTTTAGGAACGAGACCATGAAGATACAGGTATGTGTGTGTATGTGTGTGTTTTGTGTTTTTATGTCCTGGTGGGAACTTTAAACTGAATGCACACTAATCGATGGGGACTTGTGTCATCACTGGCACAAAAATTGCTAATGGAACAAACATAAGTGTGTGTGTGTGTGTGTGTGTGTGTGTGTGTGTGTTGTGTGTGTGTGAAAGTTAACAAGACTAACAGTCTACAGCCATGCTAGTGACTCTGTGGGGTTCCACATAGAGCTGAATGCTACCATCAGTATGCTAACATGCTCAAAATGACAACGTTAACATACTGATGCCAAGCCGGTTAAATATTTACCATTTTAGTTTAGCATGTTAGCATGCTAAGATTGACCTCAGCACAAAAGACAAAGTGCAGATAATTGGTTTTCTAACTTTCTAATCATTATTGATCTTTAAATGAAAAGAGAGCTAATTCATGAAAAAAACATTCATGGCCATCCAATCTTTGTGGAGTCACTTTTTAGAGATGTTATTTTCACTTAACAAGGACTTCTGAGACCCACATGAGAATGTTGATACCTTAAGTACATGAGCACAAGACACATTCATAATTTAAGAACATCATCATTCAAAGAACAGCAATAAAATACACAGCATTAACATTGGCCTCCAGACTATGCTCTAACACATAAATTATCCAAAGTTAATCAAGTTGAAACCCCAAACCAAATTTTTCAGCTGTTAATCGATGTTCATGGCAATTTTATTATGAAACCCATCCATCCTGGTCATACTCAAGATAATGCATCACACAACCGACTTTTTCTGGGGATTTCTGTTGCCAGCTACTGACAGTGACAGAATTGATTTGTTCAGTTTAAGAATTGAAAACATTGTTATACATGTTATAGCATCTCCTACTCAGACACTCCTCCATTTCCCTTTGGCTCCACATCATGCTTGCATTACATTTTCCCATGTGTATAAACAATGCAACTTTATGCCAAATGCATTTTTTTTTTTAAAGTTTGTGGAGGTCAAACTGTGTTAATAAATGGCTGACGTGCTGGAGATATGACTTTTCCACCTGACAAATGTGCATATATGCTACATTATGTTCATATGGACTATTTAAAAATGAGGAAAAAGTAAGGTAAGAAGTAGTAATAGATCTAAGTAATAGATGGTATGTTTGTGAAAGAAACAGGCTGGTGAGTTAAAACAGACGTGAAAAGAAACAGGGAGTGCAGCGAGTGATACATAGTCAGTATGTATGTGTGTGCCTGCCCATCAGAGTTGGTTGAAGCCTGCAGCAGCGTCACTATAATTGCCTCAGCTGTCAAACCAGCCGAAGATCCTCACATCACTGCTGTTGACTAGGCCAGCAAGCTCTCTCTCTCTCTCTCTCTCTCTCTCTCTCTCTCTCTCTCTCTCTCTCTCCCCATTGCACATGCAAAATGTTAGGATAATGAATAATAGGATACGTTTTTTTCTGTTTTTATTCCCTCAAACTCTCTAGTAATCTCCTATCTGTCTGTCTGTTTCTCTCTTTGTTTCTCTTCTTCTTAACCTCTGACTGCTGCAGCATACACTCAGATCAATAAGTCAGGCCCAGTGTGAAGTGTCTGCTTCCAACACTTATTATATCACTTGGATGCTCAACACTGCACAGCAGAAAACCTTCCCTCACCTTTAATCCAGCTCACGACTGCTATACACATCCAATACCTTTACCTTCAACCCAGAATAAATACCACAGTTAGCTCTGACAAACAGAAAACTCCGACATATTGACAGAGCAAATTCTTTGACTTGAAAAGGGATTGTTACATGTATGTATGTATATATCTATATACATCTATATATATAGATATATATATGTAATGACATGTTAGGAAAAGAAAAAATATAAAATTGTAGTTAGCATTGTTGAAACACTGACTGAGTTTCTCCTAATTTGGCTTTCCATTAACAAAGCACACAGCCCACTGTAAGTCATTTACTCTGATAGGGACTCATAAACTACCATTTTCATTGCAAATTAACAGTAGGAAATTAGTGGAGTGAGATGACTCTGATGCAAACCTGCCTGCTTCAAGCATTTTCTTAAATCAAGTGACATTATCTTGACACCAGCGATCTGCTGTACTTCAGTCTATTGCAACCTAATGAGGCAAAAGTCTAAATCCCAGTGAATCTGCATTTCAAATTAGTGCAATCAAGTTGTTTTTATTTAGTCTAAAAAGATGTATTTTAAAATGCAACACTAAATGCTTTCTCAAGATGAACTGCATGTTTTTGCAATAAAGTGAAGCAACCAACTAATAAAGCGTAAACACCTTGAAAATAAAAGAAGCAGAAATGGGGCAGTGTTGAAACAGAAACATAAGTGCATGTTCATTACTCGGGTGCAACCAAAAATAAAAAACACTGCCAGGGGAGCTTTTCTCTGTCTGCTAATGTTTAGTTTTTCCGATTGAAACCCTGAAATGTAGAATAATTCCTCACCAAAGGGCCTGTGAGGAGAATTTATTTTTTCTCTATCCTGTCAACGGTAGTAAAGGGTAGGACATTAACAGAGGAAGCTTGGTATGATTACTGCCGCCAAAGTCCCTTTGGCCAAGGCACTGATGCTTGTTTATGTGTGTTGTTTGGCCACAGACTGAACGCACATCATGAGTTCAATTAATCTACCCTTTGGCTTGAATGCTTTATCCCTTCAACCTCTCTGTAGGGATTGGGAAACCAACCTTCTGTAGTGCCCTTGAGCAAAGCCTGTCTGGAAAAGTGCCCGTATAGCAAAGCATTTTGTCTTATTTGATCTTTGTTGTGAGAGTGCTATTTAATTTGTTATACTCCCACTTCATAAATTGTAATTCTGTCTGCTTCACCAAAAGCGCTCTTTGTTTAATTTCACTTGCCAACTTGCCCTTGAGCGAAGCATTGTGCTTATCTAACACCACCAAGCTGTTTAATCATCTCATATTGTTTTCAACTTTGAGTTACAGACGTAGCTACTGACCCTTCATGCTCCAAGGGGAGTGACGCCAATCATGGCCAGAGCACTTTAACCATAACAATTCTTCATTCTTCATTGTCATTCACGTAGGTTTTTTAAAGACAAAGGAAACAATTACTGCACAGTAAAATGATTAGAAATTAAACAAAACTCAGCAACTCTCAAAAAAGTGGGCATGTATTAGGTCACTCTGCATGCATCTATTTTCTGGTAACACAGTGCGGTAAAGTGCTGTATGTGTTGGTACGTCTCTGCGAGTGTATACAGTGTATTAAATATCTGAGGCAGACATGATGTTTTAAATGCTATTCAGGGCAGCTCAATTGCATGGAAATGTTTTGCGCAACAATTCAAATGTCTATTTAAGCAAAAATGCAAACCTTGGAACTATTCTCTTCAACCATAGTCCTCTGCTGTTGCCATTACAATTTATTAAATGTTTTTTTTATAGGGACAAGTACATAGTGTGGACCGCTGCCTGATCATGATCCATTATGGAGTTTAATGTATTGACCTCCAGAAGATAGAAAGAAGTCTGTCCAAACAAGCACAGAACAGTTCACGAAATTACTTTGTGTTGCTGTGCCAGAAACCCTGAGAGGTTATGTCACTGAGCACCTTAGGAATCAAATTATTTAGGCATTAATGGATAAACAAATAAAAGGTCAACAAGCTAATAAAATTATCAAAATGTATTTAATTTCTTAAGAACTTGGCAGTGGTGATATCTTACTGGCTTTTTATCCAAAATTATTATTGCACAATTAGATGTAGACCTATGCCAGAGGCAGTAATTTTGACCAGACAACAGTTGTCAGAAATGTGCTCATCTTGAATCATCTATATCCAACCCGGTAACGAGGAAAAAACACAAATTTCTTGCTAATTCAGTCCTCCGTTTCAAGTTGTGTATTCAAGAGGCAGCATGTTGTTGAATGTTTAATTTCCTGTAACACCAGGGGTTATACTCCACGGAGGTCCTTATTCAAGACTTAACATTGAATTACCAAGTGTAGATTTTTCCTTTGTTATATTAGTTTTACCTGTACAAGCATAGTCTTCTGCGGCTTTTGATTGAGCAGCTGGGGGATTGAGAACATTGTTCAGTCAACTCATTATTGATCTTGTAGTAAAAGTACTAAAATCCATCCTGTCTGTTCACACTGTATGTCTCTGCAGGTGTCTGATTCCAATGTGTCCACAGTCTAAAGTGTGTTTATGGTTCTTAGGCTGGAGTCCCCGACTCGTACCCTGACCCTGGAGGCCCCGAGAGGGGTGGAGGTCAATGCTGGAGTGGGAGACTTCACAGCATCCTGTAGGAAAGACCTCCTGTTGCAGTCCTCGGAAGGAGAGGTGAGCGTGCTTCCATCTGCTACTTTGTTTGTGTGTTTGTGTGTGTGTTTGTATCTGAAAATGTCAGTGAGAATGAAATGATCAGTATGCCTTTCCATGTCTGAGAATATGTTTAATGTATGTGTGTTGTGGTGTGAGAAATAGACAGAAGAGAGAAACTGACAAAAATAGCTATGCTCATGTGTAAATACAAGGGACAACACAAAGTAGCAAAACCGGTGTGTGTGTGTGTGTGTGTGTGTGTTTGTGTGTGTTTGTGTGTGTGTATGTGTGTCTCTTTAGACTCTGTGGCACTCTATAGTGTTGGGCGCGCTTCATTAAAGTACCTTATTAGGCTAATGAGCGTCATCAATCCAGGCGACCTTGTCCTCCTTTTCTCCCCTCCTTCTCTCATCCCTCCTTTCTTCCCCTTTTCTATTTGGGATAAGTGACTTCATTAAAGCTGGTTTGATGAGGTTCCCTGTCAGTTGCTGCTGGTCTGTGTGTGTTTTTGTATGTGTGTATCATTGTTAGCCTGCTATCTCACTGTCAAGCTCTTTGCATAGCAGCCTGCCACATTGCGTGAGCACCGAAGCAGACTTAGCCATTATCCTTGTATGTGTGTGTGCGTGTGCGTGTGTGTGTGTGTGTGTGTGTGTGTGTGCGATCAGCCTGCCATGTTGCATGTTCGCTGGAGCATAGTGTGTCATTAACTCAGTAATTAACAGAAGAATGGCCCCCTCTCGTTCGTTGCACTCACTGTCATTGTCAGTCACGCAGACAAACACACACACACACACACACACACGCACACACACACACACAACAGTAGTCTGAAAACAACAGTAAAAGTTGCTCCTCTTCTAAACTCATTTCTCATTTCCTCTCCCCATCATAATCTATTGTCTTCTCTTCTCTCCTCCTTCACTTTTCTTTTCTCCTTCGCCTTTCTTCCCTCTCATTTCCTTATCTTGTTCCCGTCCACTGGGCCTTACTTTTGAAAAGTACACATCTTCATCCATAAGACCAGACAGTGGTAGTAAATTAAGCACAGAGGTCACCAAACTCTTGGGACAGCTCTGGCATATTGGTAACAAAATAATAAGGGCGAATGTCAGATATACACTAGATGATGGACTTTTCAAATAAATAATTTCAGTAATATGTGCAGCCAGGCATAGTGGCGTACAGTGTAATTCATCTGTGGAGAGATGTGTAGAAAGCTAAGTTTGACCGATTGAAGTAGTTATACTAAATGAAATGAAATATTGAACACAAATTATAAGCCTTACATTACAAAGACATTGTGCAACAGTTTGAGTATACTGGGGTCTGCAATCATTGCAAGGTGTGTATGTCTGGACAAATTACTTGACTAACTATAAATCCAGTAGGCTTTTGTATTGTGCTCCATTTCAACAAATCTTTAATTAGGAATTAGAAGTTAAAGGAGAAAAAAATATCCTATTTGAATTACACAGTTGTATTTAAAGAAATGTTGTTTTAATGCATATTATTAAATATTAAACTACCTGTCCAAACTAGTACAGTCACCACAGAAACAGTAAAATAATAAAATAAAATCAGACACCAAACATATGTCAGGTAGATCGATAGATTTTTAACAAAGCTTCAATAGATCAGTCACAGTATTTTATTTTACACCTTAGTCCTATATGCTTGTTAAAGTTTTATGCAGATGTTATTATCTATTCTACCTTAATATGCATTGGTGTATATAGACAGTTTCAACAAATATGACAAAAAGTGTTTTAGAAGCAACTTGCCTACCCTGCCTTTAATGTCTGTTGCATGTCTGCTCCATGTGGCTGCATAGGGTTCCTCCCTACGTAGGGATTACTGTAGTTGAAAAGGAGGTTAAGGATAGTCTAGTAACAAGTACTCAAATACAAAGCTAGTCTTGGTTCCAGTGAATGGGTCCTGTCTTCCAGTGAAGCATTTTTTGGTGTAGCTTGTTGCCTGAGTGTGCAGTGGCCTGTACTACGAAGCGAGGTAACTGGCTTATCCAGGTAACTTTAGGGGTAACTTTGTGACGTCGGGTGTAACTAGTATGCATACTACAAAAGGTGGATAGGTGTTTACCGAGGTTTGTTGCCATGGCAATTTACGCTGCATCTCTAAACTGCTCCGAGCAGGTTTTGTTCATGGTTAACTTGAGGTTACCCAGACACGTGGACTACACACCACATCTTTACTCAGTGTTAATGATGAGAAGTAGGATTTTAATGCACGCCACTTGATAAAATATTTTAAGATTTCAACCTGATTTGTTCCATTGCGGTTGAAATAAAGTTGTTCTTAACAGAACAGCATTACGTTCATACAGCGAGGCCTGCAGCCTCTGTGATTTAGGGAGGAGATCTTCATTAAATAACAGGCCAGTGTCTGAGATGTAGCCCATCTGCAGGCTATAACTGAATTCCCATATTTAGATTGACCGTTTTAAGTGTCCAAAAAATACGGAGCCAGGGTGGGGATTAATAAACCGAGAAGGAAACTCTAGATGAAAGTGGTAAATTTACAAGAACAAAACTCGGAAATTCCTTGAAATTAAAAATAAAAAAAATCCAAATCACTCCGGCCCAATTCATGGCAAAGTGTCTAAGGTGCTTAATAACATAATGATTGTGGGCTAAAGTGAGTGTTTCCTCACTGCTAAATCCAATTGCAAAGTCTAATGTAACTTTCCATTGCATGCATAAACGGCAGACGTGTGTGTGTGATGTTGCAGCCTTTCAAAGTGAAGTTTCTCTCGTAAATGTATGACTATAATGAGAATTTTCAAGTTTTTCACTTGTAGATTAATCTTGGAAATTCAATTTTTCTCAGATTATTAGTCTACCCCTCCCCACTGGCTCCATTTGTTTTATTACAATGAACCTTATGTGTAGTTGTACCTTTACATCTTAATCTTATTACACATAAAAGAAGAGTCCATAAAATACTAAATAGAGAATTACAAATAAGAACACTGAAGATATTTACAAATTTACTCAATGTGATGCCAGCAAGCCTCCCTGGCTTTGTCGGCCACCACGATATTAGATTTAACATGTCTTTAAAGTTCTCATATCACACAATCAACGTGCATTCTTCTGGGGAAAATACGAAGCATGCGCCGTTACAGAAAAACTCTGCCTGCACGGCCGAACACACCTGTTTTGTGCGAATGCGCGCCAACTCCAATTAAGTTAACACCAACTCAACTAACCAACTTCTTACCGTCGTAGTACCGTTTAACACCAGTGTAGGCAGTCTGAGTTTGTCAACCCTGAGTTTGCTTGATACTCCTGATTTAACTCTGAGTAGGTTGAACACCCTTCATAATACAAACCACAGGTCTGATGGCAATTGTTTTTATCCTGTTGTTTTGGTCTATGCATAGTCTCATGCCCTTCCCTGATGGAGGACATCCAATCACCTCCTTAGCAGTACACATGGCATGTTAAAGTGAGTCCTTGACACAAACGCAGTGGGTAATATTGCCAGAGAGACGTGTTGTTTGTGTGGATAACATTGTCAAGGCTGTATAATTTTACAATTGGATTGAATGCAAAGAAAAAACAAATTTTAACAAGGCCCTCTGCCTTTTATTTGAACCCCTCTATGTCTCTCCCAGTCTTGCATTTTCTTATTACCGTTCTTCTTTTCTCTGTCCTCTCTCTCCCTTGTTCCCCTATCTTATACTTTCTTTGACTCATCTCACTCTTCACATTTCACACCATCCTCCTTTCTATTATTGTCTCTTTGTTCTTTTGCATGTTCTTCTCATCCAACATGTTCTCACTCCCAACTCCCAACTGTGTATCACTCTAGTGTCAGTTTTGAACGTACAGGCCTCCACGATCAAGTTAGCAATAAATATGAAATGTTAGACTTTCAGAATTTTTAAAATAAAACACAAGGTTAACGTGAAACAGCCACAGTTGGGTGAGGTTTAAGAAAATATCATGGTTTGGGTTAAAATAAGTTAAGTTACGTAACTGAAGTTAGTAAAGTTGCATAACTTCAGTTAACTTGCGTACAAAGTTAATAAGAAGTCAACGTTGACTATTGGTTTCACACGGGAAACAAACAGATGGTCCTGTGTTTGACCCATCCAACCATCCCAACCTCCTCGCTACGCTCACTTTTCACACACTTCACAATACGTCCCCTGACTTCGATGGCACATCAAAGAAATTCACTAGAGAGGCACCTACAAACATGGCTTGAAGTGTACGGCTACTGACCATGCTGAAGTGTTTAACATGTTGGGAGAGAGAATGAGTTGTTTCATCACCGCCCCCCCCCCCCCCTTCCCCCTTCTCGGCCTTTGAGTCCTTCATCACTAAGTAACCCAGCCTATCTAATTAACTTTCCACTGCCAGAGCTATACATCACTGTGGCTGTCACTTCCCAGGGAAAGGGGAGGGAAGGGAGGATTATGATTTCTTTCTTTCTCTCTCTCTCTGTTTCATGTATCCTTTTGTCTCTTTCTGTTCTTTGTTCATCCATTTTCTCTCTCTCTCTCTCTCTCTCTCTCTCTCTCTCTCTCTCTCTCTCTCTCTCTGTCATCCCAGCATAAATGGATGTCTTCCTATTGATGGTGAACAATAGCATGATGCAGGATGTAACAAGGATTGTGGTGTGGGCCTTTGGCAAGCTTGATACCATGAAAGGCTTGAGAAAATGAAGGACCAACCTTGTCACCCTTTACTACGGCACCTGTTTGCCAGAAATACAGAAAAAAGCTCTGTTCACTAAGGTACAGCTTTATAAATGCCACAAGAAGCATTATCAGCATGTGTAAATGTATTCAGAAAGGCTCAAATAAATTATCCAAATAATTACAGTTTTTACAATTTATGTGTGAGCTTGAGGCTTACTTTAATGTGATAAACTTCACTTGTTCATACTTTCCCTAATGCTTCTAAAACAAACAGAACAAAGAACAAGGTTATATTTAAAAAGAAGATAGCCATTAGAATATTACCTCTTTGGAGGAAAAGGGTCAAGTG